ATTAAGAGTAGACTGGTTATCAGACCATCAAATTTTCTTTATCCTGGATCCAGTTTTTGATTCTTTAGAGTAGTCAGTGGATTTCTTCTCCTATTAAGGTCTCCCAATAGTACTGGCTATGGTAAGTACTTATAGTCTAGTACGTAATAGTCAGTGGATTTCTCCTTCTATTAAGGTCCCTCAATAGTACTGACTATGGTAAGTACTTATAGTCTAGTACGTAATAGTCAGTGGTATCCTATCGATCAATTAGATTTACTCTTTTTATTATCTTTTCCTAGCTTATCACTAGGGGTAATGCAATCAAGTCAGAATAATCCTAGCCAATTTCAAATCTTGATTTTATGAACATAATCTTTATATAGACCATACTATGTGTAATATTCAGTTCCCTTTAATTGTAATATAGCTATATATAGAAATGTCAAAAGTCTGATCTTTATTTGATTAAGTCAATAGATAAAGTTCTATCAAACTTTAGGTATTGTTCCCTAAAGGATCTGAACTTATATCTTGTAATCTGATCTATGAAGTACTAACTATTGCACTATTGATTCATAGATTTATAAAAAAAAATTATTCTAAACATTTATTTTTTATTATATTTATTTAAATGCATATACAGTATAATTATGACTATTATATATATTTTGATACTTTTTTTTTTTTTTTTTAATATACAACCATACCATTATAGCATATCTTTAATTTTTTGGATTTTTTTTTCTTCTAAAATTTTTAAGAAAAAAAGACAAAACTATTAGTAAAATGACATGTACTTCTATTCTTAATATTTTCAAATAGTTTGTTATATACATTATATTGTAAATATTTGATAGCTTGATTGAAAAGATATAGTATATTATTCTTTCTTTATGTTTAAACTGGTTCACTTTTTCTAAGAAAATTATTAAAAAAGAAGAGTTTTTTTTTTTATAATTATATTTTCTTATATTATGACTAACTTGTTTTTATATATTATTAGTTAAAGAACTATATTATTTAAAAAATATAAAAAATTACTAAACTAAATAAAATAATACTAATAGTAATTATTATTATTATAATAAAGCCTTTAAAAAAATTTATCGAATTTTAAAATTATATATTTATTTTTTAATTTTATCTTAACTCACAATCATGCTATAATGGTTTGTCTTTATTGAGAAATTAAAGTAAAATCTATTATAGTTTACTGACTTTTATAAAGTAATTAACTCATATTTATATATAAGTACTCTAAATCAGATTGTGAGAATAATATTATATTTCTTTAATAAATTGATAATAATATCTATTTAGCAGGATCATTGTCAATAGTTTTTTATTATTAATTGATCTAAAAATCAATGAATTGCTAAATTAAAAAAAATAAAGAGAAAAATCAATTAAAAAAAAAAGACAATTCAAGACTTATCATAAAAATCCAAAAATAAAAATAATATCTTCTTAAAAGGGATCTGCTTGATTGGAATAGTTTTTTTACTTCACTTGAATTTTAAAAGAAAATTTTTTTTTCATTATCTATGATACTGGACAAGTCAATTCAACTAGTTCTTTATTTAAGTAAGTACTGAATTGAGATATTTCAAGAAAAATATTTAGATTTTGGTTTTTTTCTATTGAAACTTTGTCATTACTTAAAAAATTTAAATAAAAAGATAAAAAATTTTAATCTATATTATCTATCATTTGATCTTTTGATATTCATTAAGGGACTTGAACTTCTGGAGGCAGACATTTCTAGAACATTTTTTTCAATCATCAATATCATCAAAACATGCGAGTATAATCAATAGGGACTTGTAATTTCAAAATTATTTATTTTTTTATAAAATTACAATATACTGTATATATAATATTTTTATTTGATTTTAAATATTTTGTTATATTGAATCTATTAAAATTTGGTTGATTGAAAAATCTAAAGTTGAATAGTATTATTAGTAATTAAAATAAACAAATATAATTTATTATATTATTATTTTTGTAACAGATATTAATTTTATTGTAATTATTAATTTAATTCAATACAAGCATTTCAAAACTGTTATATCATATTGGCTAAAAATCATTAAAAAAAGTTGATTAAAGCAAAAAAATTTTTTTATAAAAAACTATTATTTTTTCATATACTCGAGATTTCACGCGGCGGGAATCTTCGGATCAATGTCCTAACATTATTTCTATAGAAACATGTTTTTATAATAAAAAAAATATACACAAAAAAAAAAGTGTAATGAAGTGCCAAGGAAAAGGAGAGAAGCCATGTTATGTAGTAATAAAGATGTTTACAATAAAAGGAAAAATATAAAACATGAATAAATGTAGTCGTGTTTTTTACATTCCAGATAAAATTGCGCCAATATCATTTTATACACTATTATATTCGACTAGAAACTCCATTGGTCAATCTATCAAAAAAAAAAAATATATAAGAAACTCACTCTTGCCCTAAATGATGAGGGCAAGATTAGCCGGTAGGTAGATGGCTATCATACGTCAACTGCGACTCCTTCCAAACAATCCACTAAATATTCTTGAAAAAGCATTATTAATGCTAGGGGAAATGTTGTGATGAACACGTGGTGTATTTGTGCCCGAAACAGACGGCGAATCAGATGTGCGTAAGCGTTGTGAAGGATGTAAAGTTTCATCATCATCTTCGGCCTGTTAAATAATGAATGACACATTGAGTTATGTGTCTTAAGGATATAACTCTTTGTTAATTTTAATTGTTTACCTCTGAGCTGGTCACATTTGATTCACTGCGCTTACGTTTGTTGACAGGTGTGTCACGCAAATTCGAGTATGCCGAATTATATCGGGCAACGCTTGTATAGCTACTCCTAGAATTGGTGCTTTCAACGCTGCCTCGGCGACCCGTTCGTCTTTCATGTTCGGCTGCTTCCAGAGCTATTATCCGTTTACGGATATTTTCCCTGTTCGGTAATAGTAAAGAATGAATAACGAAGCGCAAAAAAAAAAAATAATAACTAAGTAACCAATACTCACTCGCCAAAAATTCCATTATTGACGTCTGCTGAGAGAAATTTGGAGGTTACTTTTCTGTAAGCCTCCTCATTCCCAACACTGTTCTTACCATCTTTTGCAAATTCATCTTTGGTCTCTTCGTAAAAACCTTTCAATTGATACCAATGATCATTCGCCCACGAGGTATTTTGGCCAAATGAACTTTCGGATTGTAATTCGGGTAAAGCGTTATTGGTAAATGAGGTGGATCGAGAAATTGGGTTTACGGGCTTAATAAATAGCGAAGTTACCGGCGTAACTTCCTCATTATTTTGAGAAGAATCATCGGCATCATTAGGTGTCCCGAGTATGTCATAATTTTGTCCTGTTAGCACGCGAACAGCTTTTTGAAGAGCAGCGGGATTTTCTGCAGTTAATGCTACCACATCAGGATCAAAAGCAGGAGGTTGTTCATCTGTTTCTTCCTCCGAGTCAAAACTTTTGGTTTTTCCTTTATTCCGAATTGGACTAGTAACCTGTGGGCGTCTGGTAATCCTGCCTCTTTTTATATTATCCGGAGTCTCGAGAATTTCCGGGTTTGGCTCGGATTCGTTTACAGAAGGTGCGTTTACACTAGAGTCAGTGTCATTTTCACTGGCAGTTTCATTCGCAGCATCCGCAATTTTATAACGACTCCTTGTACGGCTTCCCACGACATTTCCACTCTGAATTCTTCCCTTACCGCGATTTCGACCTCGTCTACGACTACTACCAGCACTATTCACGTTCCTAGTAATTCTTTTAGGTTTTGGAGTAACCATCGACTCGTCATCATTTTCTACTGCAATCGTCGTTTCAATGTCTGATGCCTCATTCGCACTTGGAATGTCACTGGCACGACTTCCAGTGATCCTCTCGGGTTCTAAAGAAACAGTTGGTTCTTTGCTCTCTACCGTATTCTCTGTTTCAACGTCCATCGCCTCACCTACATTTGGAATATCGCTAACGTGATCTTTAACGCCCTTCGAACTTCGCGTGGACCTTTTATTATTTAGCGATTTGTCATTTTCTGAATCTTCTATTTTAATATCTGACACCTCGTTAGCATATGAAACATCACTATCGCGATTGCGACTTTCATCGACAATATTCGAACTTCTAGTAACCCTCCTAGCTTTTGAAGTATCTGACTCTCCGTTCTCTTCTGTACCCTCTACTTCAATATTCGGTTCTTCATTCACATCTGGAATATCACTTTGTTCCTTATTGCTCTTCGAGCTTCTGGTAGCCCTTTTGGAAGTCTCTGGTTCTTTGTCTTTATCTATTGCATTCTCAGCATCAACAACTAGTGCATCATTCACATTCGGGATGTCTCTGTTGCGACCTCGACCTCTTTCACGACTACCACCGATACCTCCTGAACTCTTATTGATTCTTTTACGTTTCACAGATTTTCTATTGTTCGCCAATGTATTCTCTATTTCATTACCTAATACATCATTAACATCTGGAAGATCATTATGATCCCGACCTTTCCCACGACCGACACCAGAAATTTTTGAATTCTTGACAGATCTTTTAGGTTTTATTTGATCTTTACCACTTCCTATTGCTGTTGTACTCTCTTTTTCAACATTTGCTGCTTCATTTTCGCTAGGAATACCCCTGACAGAATTCCGAACTTGTCTACGACCACCACCAACTTTCTTTGAACCTCTGGTGGTCACTTTAGAAACTTTTTTGCCCTCACTCTCCACTTCTTCCGTATCTGATGTTTTATTGGCGTTCGGAACGTCTCGACCTCGTCCACCACTATTCTTTGAACTTCTGGTAACCCTTACAAAAAGTTTTTCGTCCAAATCAATGTCTGGCGATTCTCTTCCGCTTGGAATGTTACTATTATGATCTTGACTTTGTTCGGTGACATTCTTTGAACTTCTGGTGACCCTTTTAGAGGCTCTTAACTCATCATGATCATCAATCACGTTTTTGATTCCTGAATCTAGTGCTTCATTGACGTCTGGAATGCCTCTATTACGACCTCGACTTCGTCCGCGACGACCATTGGCACTCTTCAAATTTTTTATGGTGCTTCTTTTAGGTCTTGAAGGAACTAACGGCACCTCTACATGAACTACTGATTCCTCTGTTTCAATGTCAGACACTTTACTCTCATTTGAAATGATATTATCAACATCTTTAGCCACCACTGGAGGTTCTGAATTCAAAATTGGTTCTTCCTCTTCGGATTCTATTAAAATATTTTCTGAGTGTACTTTTGACGTCGATTCGTCATGAAGCTTTGAGTTACTCCTGGTTACCCGAGTGGAATCTCGCGTTCCCCGCGCCCTGATATTTTTGGTAGGGGTACTCTTATTCTTTACTAAGGTAGTTCTAGGATTATTGCTTGACGAACGCTTCTTAGAGGGAGCAGGTTTAGAAAGGCTCAAAGCGCGCTTTCTGCCCCTGGTAGTAATAGTAGTACTTGAAGTATGGATGACCGGTTTGACATTACGTGTTGGACGGCTTGTCTTAAGCGGAGTTGAATCTGATATGATTGTTGGTTTCTTGATTGACTTTACAGCTGAGCGCCGACTTTTCAGAATGTTTGTAGGAATAGTCATTACAACGTTATCGTGATCTGAAGGTGCATCAGAGTTCGATTCATCACCTTCGGGACGCCACTCTGGATCATTATTTTTCTTACGGGTTAGAGCAGGTTTGCGTTTAGTGATCCTACGTTTCGGTGTTACCTTAGTAATAATGATAGTTTTTTTCGTTATGCTTTTTGAACGTGGTATTGATTTTGACTTCCTCGCAGGTCGAATTACAAGAGGTGCACCAGCAGTTAACACGGAATTTCTAGCCCGAAGGTCATGTTTTTTAATATACTCATTAGTATTATTATCTTGCAGAATCTTGTCATTGTTAACGATTTCACTATGATCATCGTCATAAGATATGTTTTCAGAGATTTGCTCGTCATCGCTGGGAACAGGGGACAACCCAGAAACAGGACCACCTGAATTATCGTCAACAGGATTTGCTACCTCATCGACATCCGCTTCGTTTTCTGTCACCGAATCTGATCTTGAACGAGTGGTAGGTTTCTTTCGTCGTGCCTTTGATCGCCTACTGCCCGAATAAGAGTACCGGGGGTAATTGTAACTAGTTTTCGTTCTGATAAGTTAAAAAATTTTGTATTTTTTTAGTTTTTCTCGAAAAATAAGGAAATTTTCCATCATTAAATACAAACTTTGCACGTGAACTACGCCTTATTCCCGTATTTGGCGTGCTGGTCGTTGAAACAACTTCTTCGTCACTATCCGGCTCAATGTGAGCGAATCCAATCGTGGAAAATAAAGAGGACATCCCTAGATAGTATTGACTTTGCCTAATCAATGAATCACTTATCTGTGAATTGAAATATAAGAGGAGATCGTGAGAGCCCTATTTTAATAACTCCCAATTTAACATCGTTAAGGAAATTATATTATAATACTCACTTGACTTCTATACATCACGGAACCCAAAGGTGTGTCATCACATGACTCCTGTGAATCGACCTCATAACCCGAGTTCTCAATGCTTACCAAATTTTCCAACGATTGCAACCCTGAATCTCGGTAGTTATTTACTTTAGAGTGACCGATTCCTTTCGTGTTGACTGCCGATTGATCGATGCCGTCAATTGGAGTATTTGTGTCTCCGAGATTCGTTATTGACCGAGAGAGTGCTGAATCTTCATTATTCGATGATTGAATAGCTGTTGAATGTTCAAATGGCATAACGGAATCTGAAGTAATGACCTCTGGAATATCACCAATTGGAAATGAACTGTAAGTTATTTTGCTTTAATTTTTTTGGCCGCCAGAACTAACAAAAATTTGTTCACCTCCTTGAGTATCTTGCGTGGATACCTCCGAAAAAGGGTTGTTGATATTGTCCGTTTTAGATTTTTGAACACTTTCTGGAGAACTTGGAACAAATCCACTCATTTCCTGAGTCGAAGGAGAATTTTCGAACATAGGCTCTTCGATATCCTGTGAGGATAAGTAACTATTACTTGATTGTTGAGTATTTGGCGGCGATTGTGTATTGCTTGGAGTGGGATAGTTTGCAGGCAAGGCTTTCTTCGTACGAGAAATAGAGGCTGAGGAGGCGGTAACCCGTGGCATTTTTTTTCTGTATATGTGATAGATATTTTGTTATAACCTTTGGGAAAGAAATAAAAATAAAATTTTTATTTGTTAGGGAAAAAAAGAGAGAGCGTGGTTCTTGTGTGACGATAAGAATAAAATAAGTTTTTTGTGATAAAAGTACGTACAATTACCGTACCACACTAGATGTGAAAGATTGGCTGTATTCTTTTGTGTGAAATTCGCGTTCTTGACTTGTCTCCTCAAACTTGTCCACACACCTTACATTATTTTATTTACTATTTTTAGGCTCTATGATATATCAATGAATTAATCACCAATTTTATATTAAACGTTCGAGATTCGAACCTTTTTCCTATAAACTTCGTGCAGAAAAGGGGTTGACTAATGAACCATTTAACAAAAATAACGAAAGATGCTTTGTTGTAATCTTGCGAATATTGTTAGGGAAGATTATTGAAAGTATGTAAAAATACGTGCAAAACAAACATTCGCAGTCTCACCTTATTATTTACTGTAAACTTATGTATGCATTGATTGCTTTAATAATATATTTTTATGGAAGTCTATGCCGTGAATTCTCGGTAGTTTTTGGATAATTTGGGTCCATGCATAATTCATATACCGATCCAATCCTGGGAAAATAAATAAACAACTTTAACGTTAAAAAATTTTTCAGAAAGAAATTTGACAACGCTCATAAAGGACTCACTGGATCGATGACGTAACAATTCTTGTGCGACTTGGTACAAAGTGCAAATTAATATCTCACAATAGGATCCGTGCTCGGTTTAACGGTATTATTTTTTGTCTCTGCACTGAATTAATAATAACTCGTTACATTAAAAAAGATTATCACGTATTGTCAGTATTACAACGAACGTGTGCAATAAACAGTAATACACAATCATATAGCTAATCGAATAAATCATTGAGCGTATCAATCATCTCGTATAATATCATATTAAAGCAGGTATAATAATTTTCTTAATCTTAATACCGTACATCGACAAGCATTCGCAAAATTAATGTATAATTAAATAATTTCTTTTTAATTTTCTTTGTCTAATTAATACAAACTCTAGTGAGCTTTTTCTGTGTATCGATATTCCGACTTATTTCTTGACTTTTCCCCAACCAACCTTGAACTACTTCCTAGCTAATAAAAAAGTGATTGATATTATTGTTTTTTTTTTTAAATACAGTTTATAAAGTTATGAAATAATGCAATGATTAAGACTCTTTAAAAACCATGAATTTGTGATTATAATAAAAAATATACTTTTTGATTTTAACTTTTTTTTTGAAAATAATATAAAAACAACTTATTAATTAAGCTCTATTGAGATATTGATAAAACATCTTTAATATTGACTTTCATATAACAATTAACTCATCTTTATATATTATTAATTAAAGGGCTATAGTATTTAAAAAAATTTTAAGAAGTTCACCAAACTAGCTTGAATTAATCAAAATTTAAGTCTTAACTATATATTTTAAGTCAGATTTAGAAAACTATATTATATTTTCTTGATAAATTTGATATTTAACTTTTAATCTATTAAGATTATTATTAAAATTTATTATTATTAATTATTTCAAAATACAAATTAATAAAAAACAAAAAAGGTGAAAGAAAAAATTCAATTTAATATAATTGTTTTCTTTAAAAACTTTTTAATTAAAAAAAATTTTTTTTTTAAAAACTTTTCTTTTTTTTATTATTATTATTAATAAACTATTTTGTATTCCTTATATCATTGAAAAATGATAATATAAATAAATATATTAAATTTTATAAGACCTGTAAACAAATTAATATGGTATATCTTTATTGTAAATATTTACAAATTGTTATGACTTTCATATATTAATTCACTTGTTATCAAAAAACTATTTCTCTAAATGTAATCTAGAAAATGATATTTTATTTTTTTACTAATTTGAATAAATTTTCTAATTAATAAAATTATTGCCTATAAGTAATTACTATAGATTATTTTAAGTTTTGTCTATAGTTAAAAACTGAATTATTTGATTCCATGATAAATCCAATTCTTAACAATCACTATATCCTTCTTTTCTTCTTTTTCTTTAATGCCTTTTAGATTCAAATTCTCTGAAAATAATAGTGATGCTTTTTGATCCTATCCAGTTTGTATTTTAGATTCACTAGTTGAAAAAAAATTATTTAGCATACTGTCACTTATATAATATTTAGCAAAAAATAAACAATTTAGCAAAAAAATAATATAAATAAATTGACAACTACAAAAATTAATATATTAACAATTTGTCAAAAAATTTATTAACAATTTATTAAATAATTCATTACAATTTAACAATAATTCATTATCAATTTGATAATAATTCATTAAAAGTTTATTACAAAATTATTTATTAACAATTCAATAAAAACTCAACATTAATTTATTCAAAAATTTGTCAAAAATTCATAAACTACAGTATTTATTAA